ATAGGACCCCTAATATAGACTGTTTACTGGGAAGGGGCAGTACCCAATGTAGAGTTTTGGGCTTTAGGTTTTTGGGTTCATGGTTCAGCGCTCAGCTTTTAGAATCTCAGGGTTTAAGACTCGTTGAGGTCTCTGAGGTTTAGACATGTTATGGTCAAGGTGTAGGGTTGAGGGTTAGGGCTTTTAGATTTTGGGCTTTGAGTTTCAGGATTTAGGTGGGAGCGGCCTTCTGCGGTGGATCTTTCTGAGTAATAAGGGGAACCTTAAGGGGACTCCATGGGAGGTGGCCTCATACCTTAAGAAGCTAGGGAGGCTTAGGGAGGTCTAAGGAGTTCTTATTTATGGGTCCCCCTTATATGAGGTCCCCTTGAGGATTCCCTCAAGTAAGTGCTCTCATGTAAATTCCCTCTGACATTTCAGCTAGGGGTGGCAATACCAGCCCGCTACACAAGCATACAAGCTCCGCATGGAAGTTTCCAACATTTAGGGCTGTGTGACTCACTAGCACAAGACTTTTGGATGTTAAAATCAATAGTTATTCTGTAGCAGAAGCAGCGCTTTTTCGTACTAATCCAAAACCCTAAACCCTTAACCTTAAACCCTAAACCTTGACAACTGCAGATTGCTCCCCAATTCTTACCGAGACCAAGCCCGACAAACAGAAGGGACAGGCCTTCCGAGACTCAAAGTGGACAAAATGATTTTTTTTTGGGGGGGGAGGGGGGGGGGTTAGGGGCATGGGTTTACCTAAACCCTAAACCCCAAATGGGAACTAAGGATCCTAACATTTTGGGTTATATAATGGTTATTTGGGGATATATAGGGAAAATGGAAAAGAGAATGGAAGCTACTCTGTAGGGTTTAGGGTTTAAGGTTTAGCACCCTCTGTTTAGAAATACCTCGAGTACTTGTTTGCGCAAATGCACTGGCCCTACAGCAACGGCTATAGGCAAACTAACACACATGTGAATCTCGAGCCTAAGGAAGCACAGCAGTCCCTAAACTCGAAACCCTACTTGAGGAGGATAGGTTTGGGGCTTCATCCTCTATGGCTTTATAGGGATTCTATAGGGACTAAGGGTAATAAGAATTCGGTTGAGGGGCTATTGCCAAACCTATCCCAACCACACCGAACCTGAAGCCTCATGGCTTCCCCATATGAGTAACTTCCAAGATCTAGGCGAGTCTATACCTTCTCTGCAGGATTGATGACTATACTTTGGGGTATACTAGGGATATATAAGGACCCTAATATAATTACTTCTTCTCGAGTGACCTGAATCGTCACTGGGCGGAGCCCACTTCCATGGTGAAACGTGCAACCTAGTTAGACTAGAAAAGGGAGTCTCCTCATGGCCCTGTAGCTCAATGGTGACTCTGCCTTGGGCGGCCGGCCTGGTGACATAGGAGAAATCCCTGGCTATCTTGCCAAAGAAGAATGCCTCCTCCTGCGTCTGTTCGGCGTCCCCGACCTTGAGGATCTGGTGTCCACTGCCCGGCCCCAGGTCCGGGCACTTCAGTACCACACGTGCGCCTCCTACCCCAAGCACCTCCCAGGAGAGTCCTTCTTCATCCGTAAAGGCCTTGGGAGCATAGCAGGTCCAAGGGCTGTTAGCGCTGCCCTTATGCTTGCCTGCTACCCCCGTCAAACGTTTAGTTAGGCACTGTGAAGAGCACCGCAGTCAGCTCAGAAAGCTTGAGCTGTGACGAGGGCCTAATACCCTAATATGAGCTATAGTCTAAACTCCGGGGGTTATATAGGGGATTATATAGGGGACTACTATAGGGGATATTAAGGGGGATACTAGGAGTTTAGACTATGGCTCA